ATCCATGCTACATAGCGATAGTCAAACGTTAGGGCTTTGGGTTTCAGGGCCAAGCCTCAAAAGGGTTCTGATCGTTGAAGATCTGGCTCTAAGTGGCAGAGTAAACCCATATTACGTGCAACACGCTTTGGAGCTGCAGGAAACCAAGCCTTCTGCGGTTTTCAAGGCATGGGCTCTCACTCTACTTCAATCCGAAGCCACGGCACCCCAAACGGTAACCCGAGCCCGGAACCCTGAACCCCCCTCAATCCTAAACCCTATATTTCCCCAAACCCTACAGCCTGAAGCTTAAACTCAAGATGATCCCTGAACCCCAAACCCCCTAAACCCTAAGCCCTAAACCGGGCTTTGGAGCGCATGCGACGAAAAAGGCCCTAAACAAAACTTGATAGGAGCCACGAGCCCGAATGCAGTTGCGCGCCCGATAGCAGCAGGATTATCAGTTCTAGGTTTCGCGACCAGGACCCCCTCCATCCCCGTGACTGTTGACACTTTTGGAACGCAGTGAGGACATGCTTGCAGGGGGCCGGGTGGGGGCTGGGGGCTGGGGCCTGGGGCGGGGCTGTGGGGGGGCTGGGGCTGGCGGGGCTGGGGGCTGGCACTCGGACGCTCAAGCGGGCGCTTGCGAACGCTTGCCGTGCGAACGCTGCGCATGCATTCCGCGTCAACTCCTAACCCCCAGGCCCCCAACCTTCAAACGAGAACCCTTCTGCTACGATTCGGGAAAAACCCTGAACCCTAAGAGACAAAAGCCCGAAGAGCCCTAAGCCCTTAAAGCCCTAAACCCTGAATTTAAGCCCAAAAACCCATAGACTTCGCCAGGTCATGGCTCCGGCCTCAGGTCGGTTTCGACGGAGTAGGCGTTCGGTTCCAGGGCTGCGAGCTCGAGGCTGAAGTCAGAGGCATTTAGGGCTTTGGGTTTAGGGTTTAGGGGCTCAAAATTGGGGTTTCGTGTTTAGGGTTTAGGGGCTCAAGTTTGGTTTAGGGCTCAAGGGGTTTAGGGCTGAAGTCTGGCTATCCGATTTTGATTTACCTTTTAGGGTTTTAGGATGCCTGCGGTCTCGGGTGCCGGGGGCGGGTTGCACGTAGCCAGTGTGAGGCATGGTGTGCGCCTTGATCCCAAGCTTTAAATCAAAGCCCGGGTCCTAAAAGCTGTCCTTACAATACCCCCCGAGTACGTCGGGAAGTTCGACAATGTACCCGTCGGTCCCAAACTGTATTCGAGTTTGACAGCACAAGATAGTAGTAGTGGGATAGAGATGATGATGGTGATGATGATGAGACTGGTGAGTCTGACGCAGATTTTGATGGTGACGATGAAAAGACGGCGAAGATGGTTGAGCAAGCGGTCGCTTTTTAAGAATGTTGCTGTCGCAGCTGGCAGCGTATCCCTGCTGTGCATGGGCTTCTTCTTGTTCTTTTTCTTGCCACTGTTTGGGGTTCAGGCTTCGGGCTTGGGTTAGGGTATAGTCCGGCTTTTGCCATCGCATCTCCTCGGCTTCGGCGCAGAAAATTCTCTGGAAAAGTAGGACAGAAGATCAGAACCTTGAAACCCCAAGCTGAACAAAGCCCACACCTTAAGCCTCCAGCACCACACCACCCCCGTGAATCCGAAAGTCCGTAAGCCCGAACACGAAATTTCCGGGAGCGATTCGGCATCGGAAGACCGAGGGCGCCGTTTACAGCGTCCTGGAAGCCGTCGTCCAGCTCTCGGTCGAGGATGCCGATGCCGTCAAGGACAACGCCTGGACCTCATTGAGGTCTCAAACCATAAACCCTAAACTCCTCAACCCTAAACCCTAAACTCTAAACCGTCTAAACCCTAAACTCTAAATCCTAAACCCTAAACCTGAAACCCTAAGCCCTAAAACCCCTCGGTTCAGGGAGCAGTCAGGGCTTGCCCCATCCCCTAAGCCTTCCAGGTCGTTTTTTTCGCGTGAGTTGCCGCCAGAGGACGGACTGAGCTCCTGCATAGATCCCTAAACCCTAATCCCTAAACCCTCAAACCCCAAGCCGAAGCAACGATTCAGAATGAATTTCCTGAGTTGAGCTTAAGTTGGCAGAAGAGAACCCTGAGGTTGAGAACGTTAAGCTTACGGCTTCGGCGAGGGCTCCATGAGGCTTATCCTCATTCTGAAGCGAAAATACCATAAGCGGCACCAAAACCCCAAACTCTTCGAAGAAATGATTCTTCCAAGGCCGCTCTGGTGACCTCCATGAAGCCATGAGCTCGGGGGCAGGGTTTGTATTGGGTTCCCTATCGGAGGTTTTTCTGAGGTTCTACCGCAGTTTCGGAGGTTTTCGAAAGGTTCGAGGGGTTCTAGCACAGGGGTCCTTACAAGAAGCATCTTGCCAGTTGAGGCCACAGGATAGATGTATCAGGGATTTCTCCGAGTCGTGTGGACATAACTTCGGGCTCGCTCTAGTAAGGACCCTCCTGTTGCTGAACCGGGGTCTGCCCTACTGGGATTCAAGGTTCAGGGTTCAGGGTAGTAATACTGGGGCCTGAATAATTACCTATACTATTTTGGAGGTTCCCTATTACAGTTACAATATAACGTACACCGAAACCCTGTTCTAACTCTTACGGCCCCTAAACCCTAAACCCTTATAGTAACCCTTATAGTAATCCTTTTGAGGCACCCCCTTAAAGGAACTGGTCCTTCAGTTCATCAGCAGGGCGGGGTTCTTGTTAAAGCTTTCAGCCTCAAATCCCTAAACCCCTAAACCCCTAAACCCCTAAACCCTAAACCCTGATCCCTAGTCCCTAAACCCTAACCCGTAAACCCTACCAAAAAAAACCCTACAATTAACCCTAGACCCTAATCCCTTTGTTCAGGCTTAGGGATTAGGGTTCAGCAGCTCCGGACCGAGCAGTTTTAAGTAAATCATTTTGACGGTTTAGACATAACACCCCACCCACCCTTAGAATCCCATAACTGTGCAAGAATCCCATAACTGTGGAAAATACAATAATTTTCATTCACATAAGTGAGGTCTAAAACTTAAGCCATGTTAAACCCAGGAACCCTAAACCCAGGAACGCTAAACCTAGGAACCCTAAACCCTAAACCCAGGAACCTAACCGTGACGGCGAGTATTTGGCCGTGCCTGCGAATATTTGGCCATTGCCGGCCGGCGAATATGTGGCCGATGCCGGCGAATATTTGGCTGTTGCCGCGAATATTTCGCCGTTGCCGTCGAATATTTGGCCGTGCCGGCGAATATTTGGCCGTTGCCGGCGAATAATTGGCAGTTGCCGGCGAATATTTGGCCGTTGCCGGGGAATTCATGAGGTGTTAAATCAGATGAAAGAGAGGTTTAGGGTTCAGGGTTTGGGGTTTAGGGTTTAGGATAGGGTGGTTTAGGGCTACAATGGGTTATTATGGGTTTTGGAGGGGTGTTTTTCTTTCTCAGTGTTCCCCAAAATAAGTATAGTGCTTGAAAACTCTCCGAAACCCTAGTCTTAATACTTCACGCTTCTATGTTGCCCGATTGGAAAGACGACCCTGTCCAGTTACTTCGCCACGAGTTTGAAGCTTTGAGCTTAGCGTTTAGGGTACTCATGCCCCACTTGGCATTACCCTAAACCCTAAACCCAAGACCCCTAAACCCTAAACCCTCAACCCCTAGATGCTTGCAGGTCATCCTTTGCAGGCTTGATCAATGTGCCTGTGGAACCTTGGCTTCGTTTGGACAGGTATTTCACGGGAGTTCCACAGGGTACGAGTGCGTAATGTCGCAATCTCGCGGAGGTCGATGTTCTTGCCGTTGTCGCAGCTAGTGTTGGTGGTGGTAGTGAACCCAATGCTGTAAGTCGCTGGCACGTGCATTCGGAAGGTACCCGTTGAACAGATTAACCTCGACCCCAAAGGCATGAAGACCCAAGCTGAACCTCGGTTAGAATCCAACCCAAGTGTAGACACAATTCCAGTTCGCAGGCTCCATCACACAAGTAGCCAACGGCTCCTCCACCCTGCCCAATTATGCTTGCTGTGCATCTGTCTTCTGGTATGCCTGTTTGCTACTCGCAATCACGAGGAGAAGGTGATGCTGGAGTTCATGACGTCTCGACGCCTGGCCGACGGCAACATGCGGAGGAGGCTGGCCGAGATGCTCACGGCGCCCGGAAGCCCAGCTCTGCGGCTTCCCAGGAGATTCCTTAAGGTTTAAGGTCTCCTCCGTCCTAAACCCGAAGCCCCAAGACGGATGTCGGGAGTTCGGAGGGGACTCCAATGCTCCAAAGATGGACGACGACACCTGCTGTCGCCGCTGAACCACTTACCTCTGCAGAACCCCCACAGAGTGTTGTTTTGTTGCTGTGACCATAATTTTCGCAGACCTTGCGCCAGAAAATTCTTGTGACGACCACCCTGTTACCTTCCTAAGCCAAGTGTTGTTGGCCCGGAAAGCAATGACCAACATGAACCCCAAACCCTAAACCCAAAGCCCTAAGCCCCGAGCAGCTTTCAACGCGACCCCGACCTCCGACCCTGCTCCTTCTGCTCTTTCTCTGGGACTCCTACGGCAAGTACTAGTAGCACCGACACTTCTACTGCTAATGCTCCTCCTCCTCCTCCTGCTGCGGCTGCTACTGCTGCTGCTGAGGAGGAGGAGGAGGAGGAAGTTCTTGAAGTCCATGAGACCAGAATACCTGACCAATCGTAGTCAGAAGGATGACAGTGGTATAATCAGCACCCCAAGCCCTAAACCCTAGGCCCTACAATATCACGGAGCATTCCCGAGGATCTTCACCGTGGAATTGGACTCTGTCGCCGACGCTGAAGTGACCTTGGGCTGGCAGATGGATGCCCTAAACCTTAAACCCGAACCCCTAAACCCCTGAACCCTAAACCTGAAGAGGATGTGGAGTTAGAGTCTAGCGAGCGTGTCGAGGCGTTGAGGGTTTCGAGTTACGACGTTTAGGTTTAGGCTTGATGTTTCGAGTTTAGGAGTGTGGTAGACGCGTCTCTGCTAGATTTACGCTCGGGTCCAAGCAGCAAGCGGAAAGCGTACGGAGACAGTCAGTTTGACACGTTGTGCAAGATTGCACTCGCGCTCTACATCCCCCCGCCTTGTGTAGAGGTCCTCATTTCGGGTTCTAGAGGGCTTCTCAGCGAGGTTCATGCAGGTTCTATAAACTACAAGTGCCTTGTAGCCTTGCACCCGTCTTCAATGAACTCTCGAGCTCTAGGGCATACGGGGTTTCTTCGTGCCAGTTGCCCAGACTTGTTCAGGGCAGAGAAAGGAGCACGAAGAGCATTCCTGCATGTAGGGCTGGTTTCTGAGAGTTTGCAGGGGTTTAGGGCCGTTTTCGGTCTTTCGTCGCGCTTCTGGGTTCAGGGTTTCAGACCTCAAGGCACGGAGAGGGCGCCGACAGCTTGCTTGGAGGCTTGAGATTGAGATGCAATATTCACTACTGACAGGACTGCACTCAGCCACCCTATATAGCACTCGCATCGTCATGCCGGTTCTTCACAGGAGTTAAATCATCAAAATCGGATCATTTAGGAGTGGAGTAGCAATCCCGAGGAAGCAAGTTGAGTTCGAGACAGCGTCTGTGATGATGGTGAGTGAGGCCAGCACCGGCTTCCCGATGGTTTTGGGCTGCTCTGTGAGGGTTTCATAATGTGAACCCGAGGCCTTCGCCCTAAGCCCCATTTCTCAGCTCTAAAGGAAGGATCTTGGGCTGGAGTCTTCCCTTCGGTGTCTTCTTGGCTGCTTCGTGTTTCGAGCTTTGACGCAATCTCGAAGCCATCGATTCCTCAGTTTTCGGACCTAAGCTGTGTCTGATACCCAGAAGCCTGGATACCTCTCATCACTGCTAATCTCATCACCAACATCATCAGCCTCGGCCTCGGCCTCGGCCTCGGCCTCAGCATCAGAGTCATGGTAGTCATCGTCATCTCAATAGCTACCACCACCACCACCACCACTTCTATTGCACAATATCAAACGCTAGTCCTGATAATGGTCCTGTTCCTGCTACAATTATTTAATAGTAATAATACTAAGAACTACAATAACCATAACAGCCAACACCTGATGATCGTAGTATTTAGTCACCACAGCCATCACAATAATGATCAGATTAGCCATAAAAGTAACGATCATAATGATAACAACTACACACTGAGAAATCAGTAGATAATAGACAATTCAGTACATCAACAAATAAGCAAACAAGCAAATACGTAAGTAAGCAATGGAAAACAGATGGGTAGATCGATAGATAGACAGATAGATTGATAGATATGTGAACACAGTCTTACATGAATGAGCAAAGAAGCAACAAATCTAAATGACTGAAATTTCGTACCTATGATAACCAATACTCATCATTCTTGCCCTCATCATGATAGCTGTTCTTATTCCAGACGAGCTTTTCTGTTTTTTGAGTTCGGGGCTTTGGATCGCACAGGGTCTTCATCCGCATGGGCAAATACTAAGGTGCATCCCAAAGCGTTGTTCGCAATCCCCAGACCTCGCCCTCTACTCCCGACGCCAAAGACCTCGCACCTGAACGCCGAAACTCTAAACTCCTTGCATGCCTGTTGCGCAGAAAGAGCCGCTGCACCTCGAAAAGATAAGCCAACTTGAAAGGCTTGATTTGCAAACCCCAACTGCTGAACCCAAAGGACTTCAATCCGATACCCCAAACACTGGGAAGGACATCCTAAACTCGACGCCGCGAATCTAAGTGGCAGGTCTTCAGTCACCATGAATAGTATAGACAACATTACTAATAGCAATACTTGCAATACTAGTAGATCTAATACCACTAGTAATAGTAGCAATGATAATGGTACTGCTCGTCCTAAGATGGACCCATGGAACAGGACGGATCCAGTGTTGATGGTGATTAGTTTTCGGCTGTAGTGAAGAAGAAGCAGTGCTTGCATCCATTTTGAGCAAGGCCGTCGCTGCTGCCGTCACGGACCGGGCACTTTCCATCAGGGGCTGCGGATCTGCAGGGTTTCTTCGCGTAGTCCATACTATGGACCTTGAAGCAGACCAAGACAGACCGCAAGCGTTTAGGTTGTTGAGGGGTTTCGTGAGGGTTTCTTTTTCGGGACTCTGTGTGCAAAACCGTTGCACCTGCTGAATCCTGAACTGTCAAAAGGTTTTGGTGTAGGATTTAGAGTTTAGGGTTGTTCAGGGAGCAGACTTCTCCGTGAAGAGTCCAAAGCTTGCTGGAGTCAGGAGACGGGCCTTCGTCCTTTTGGGGTTTGGGGTCGGGGTTTAGGGTTTAGAGTTTGGGGTTTGGGCTTGAGATTGGGGCTTAGGGGTTCAGGGTTGGGGGTTTGGGGTCTAGGGTTTCGGGGGCATCACCTTCTACGATTGTGTCACGATTGTTGACTTCGCCTTTGAAGCGAAGCAGTCACCCCATCAGTCACCCTTGTTACGGCTCACGGGTTGCCATGCGTCATCTCCCATTATTATTATTATTGTTATTATTGTATCGGGCTGTTAGAAACTACTGGCCCATTTCAGGGTTTTCCTGATCTGCCCACCGCTTTCAGAAGACTCCCAATGTAAGTGACCTTTTCAGCGGCAGTGCTTAAAGCCTGAGTTAACAAATCCCAAAGG